TGCGCACGTGGCAGTACGCATCGTGGGACGTGTGGGCCCCCACCACCCTTGTCGAAGACCAGTGCGCAATCGCGGCGGGGTAGCCATCATAGCGTCTGGAGGGCCGGCACATAGCAGGCAATATGCCAGCACCCTTGCCGTCACAATCAAAAACCAATACACAGTGATCGGGTGGTTCCCGCGCATGATCTAGATTTTGTCCCGAAGTGCATTCTGTCATGGTTTTTTGACGGATTCTGGCCCTGCGCGCAGCAGGCAATGTGCGGGCACTCGCCGCCACCGTCAAAACACAATGCAGAAGTGCTCGCGCCCCGCCTGATCATGACCAAAGATTTCGCCCCAACGTGGACTTTACCTTGTTCTTTGACAGGGATGGTGGGGTCCCTCATCGGTCCTGGTTGGCTGCTGGTCGCCTGGGGGAGGGGGCCTTGATTGATGGGGAACAATGGCTGACGAGAGCGAGGCTGACGGTCGAATATGATGCTGACGAAAATGGTAGCTGCGGCACAATCGAGCAATCGCGCTGCAGGCGTTCCTGAGAAGTGAAAAAGTGGATGACGACGACGAGAAGACTGGGCGCAACACATGTCATTATATTTGGAGATGGCCTCACCCGCTGTCAGTGTTTCTCCTGCCTTGCTCGCCGCATTGCCGCGCAGAGCCTCCGCCTTGCTGCTACATGGTGTCTGGCACCAGAAGGGTAAGGGCGAGACTGATGACGAAGACGGTCCACGTGATGATGGGTATGCTTATTCCGATGGCGATGATAATGTTGACGGTAGTTGTTGTGGTGATGGTGATGATGATGATGGTGATGTTGATGTTGCTGATTTTGAAGTTGATGATGGTGTTGATGGCGATGATGAGGATGAATGGCTACTTTTTAGTGTTCTTTTACATGGTGAATTTGCTTCCGGGTACATCGCAACTCTGCTTACGAAGAGAAGACGCTGGCTTCGAGGAGGAAAAAGTTGACGACAAGGGCCAGGAATGCGTATGGTGGCGGCTTTGGAGAGGACCACCTCGATGCTCTTGACGCGGCCGCGGTAGCAGTCGCAACGATGAGCTCGATGCGGGGGAAACGTAGGTTCGGGGTTGGGGGTGAAGGGAGGCCCACGGCAAAGGACGCGGATCTGGATGGAGTCACCGCTGCGACGAGGAGTTGGAGGATGGGAGGGGCGATGCGGAGGATGGAGACGGGAGGAGGACACGAGCGAGGAGGATGATGAGAAGGCCAAGGACGCCGATGGTATGAGAGGGTAGGAGCAGACGGAGGAGGGGTATAGCGGGGAGAAAGGGATGAAGCGGCGGAGGAGGAGGAGGAGGACCTGTGGAAACCCAAGAGTCATTAACGATGTTGGAATCCACCCTTCCTCCAAGCAGCGGTTCATTTCCACTGGGGGAATTGCCTCATTGGAAGATAACCGTTTGAAGACCCGGAAGCATGCCAACGCATTGTTCTCGTGATTTCAACGCCACGGATCAACCTGATTGTTGTTTCTTGACGATCTGGAACCGTGCCAGAACATCATTCTTGGGATGTCAACACCGCGAATCAGCGTAACTGTTGCACCCTCATAATCTTGAGTCCTTCCCAAACGCCAGTTCTGGTTCGTTGATGATGGGAGTTCGTGAATGTTTTGTTGGTGATGGGTGCGCGGCGCTAAGGCGAGAGCAACATTTTGAAAAGGACCCCATCAATCCGTTAAGGTTGTGCAATTTGTTCAAACAAATGTGCGCGTCGCTGAGGCGAGAGCCACATTTTGAAAACAAGCCGCCCTCAATCCGTGACACTTTCTCGGCGCCAAAGCGAGAGCCACATGTTGAAAAGGACCCGCCCTCAATCCGCGAAACTCTTGCAATTTGTAAGAAACGAATGTGCGCGGCACTAAGGCGAGAGCCACATTTCGAAAACGAACCGCCCTCAATCCGTGACACTTTTTCCAATTTCAAGAACGGATGTGCGCGGCGCTAAGGCGAGAGTCACATGTTGAAAACGACCCGCCCCCAATCCGTGGAGTTCTTGCCATTTTTTACCACGGATGTGCGCGGCGCTAAGGCGAGAGCCACATTTTGAAAACGACCCGCCCTCCATCTGTAAAGCTTTTGACAATTGTTAAGCTTCAGGGTCATAAGTGGCGAGGAAGTCTCAGGCGAAACGCCCGACCCGCCGTAAAAACTGGTTTCGGGGTGCGATAGGGAGAGGTTTTGGATTATTAAAGTAATCCCAGGAAGCATCAACGGTGCTGCAATGCACCCTCCCGGCTCAATTCCCCTCCTCACACATCCCCGCAATAATTACGTTGCATCGCTTCAGGAGGCTCGTTTGAAAGATGAACTCCCCACGAAACTGCAACTGGGTCGAGGGCCATGTTTCGAACATGTGTGGCCTTGCGTAATGTTTGTTCCACTGCGTGCGAAACTGTAGGACCACAGTGTTCAAGAGGGTGTCCAGCGAGAGCCTGTTTTTGAACAGGGAACGGCCGCTATCCGTGCAGCTGCTATCCGACTTTGCATGTACGGCCGTACATGCGGAGGAAGTCTTAAGCGAGAGTCCCATGTCGAAAAGGAATGGCTTCCCAGCCGTGTATGATACGTGGCGATGGACTGTCAGGAGCGAGCCCCAATTGAAGGGGAACCGCCCTCCATCTCTGTAGCTGTTGCACACCGTCCATTCTTTTTAGCTGGTCGAAGGAGCGGTCAGACGAACGTGCGCGGCGCTGTCATGCGCCACGCGTTGAAGACATACCGTCCTCCACCCTTTCGGCCGTCGGTCGCTCTTCAGATGAACGTGCGTGGCGCGGGAGCGAGATGCGCATTCTTATTTCTATTGTAGTGGCCTCCGGCCAGTGCCGCCGATCCGGGACGCTTCTGTTGCTGCCGGAAGCGTGCGATGGCGGTCATGACCGGCGACGACGGCGAGCGGTGAGCTTCAGCGAGATGCGCATTCTTATTCCCATTTGTTTCCTCCTCCCTCCTGGGTCTCCTCCTCTCTCTTCCTCGTTCCTCTCTCTCCTCTCCCCTGCTCGCTGCCCCTATTCTCCCCATTCGCTCCCCCCCCTTGATTTTGAGGCGCTCATTCTTGTGTCTGCCGGCCATGTCGGACGTGGCGCGCATGTCGAGCGAGCGAACCTCGTCGTCAACCGCGATCTGCCAAATCGCGTTGGGCACGCAGGCAGATTTGGCAAGGCGGGGCTCGCCGAAACCGTGTTGCCGGCGCAAGAAGAAAGGTGTTACACAGCTTCCAGGAGCGAGTCAAGGTGAGCATCCCAGAGATGCCAGACACCATGTCCAGTATCAATTAGTGACGCGTGTTGGGCGCGAGCGCAGTCCGCGCCAGTTCTTCTCTGGATCAAATTCTTCCCCGCCCTCCCCCCTCCTCCACTTTCGTTGGCGAGTTCATATCCCAGCTCGCTTCCTCCCTCTCCTTCACCCTCCTGCTCCCTCCTGTTTCTCCCTCTTCTCCTCCTCCTCTTCCTCTTGCTCCTCCTCCTCTTCCTACTCCTCCTCCTCCTCTTCCTTTTGCTCCTCCAATAACTTTAGAATGTCCGAGAATATTCACGTGCGTGTTCTTCTGCACGAGCGCCGAGCATATTTGATCAGACCACGATTTGTGAGACCGTCACTGGACAGTATTGCGGCCTCTAAGGAGTCTGCGAGTTGGACAAGCTGAGCGGAGTTGAAGTCTTTCCGCCACCTCCCTTTCCCCCTCCTCGTCTGGGCGCTGCTGCTTCTGAGGCCCTTCCCGACACGTTGGCTGACCGTAAAAAAACGTTGCCGCCAGCGCCTTGGATCAGCATCCGTGAGCATTGCTGAGGAATGGTGGAGGTTACCGTGCCCGAGGCTATATCGCGTAGATGGGGCCTTGTTCTCGCCCCTCAAAGAGGATAGAATGCGTTTCGCGGGGGGCCGGGCACATAAATACACACATTGAACGCACACATGTTCCTTCAGGTGTGGTTTTGTACTACATGTGGGGCGGTCGCAGATATACAGCTGCGAACGTTGAAGTCCCGTTTTCCGAGACTGGACGAGAATACCTTGACAGTATCAGTAGAGGTGTGCATCCCAAGGTCCTGAGTCGAGCAGATCAGGCTGCGAGCCGATCGGTGAACCGTCCGAGTCGTGAAAATGGTCTGGTGTTGATCATGGCCTTTGCATCCACAACGGTGCCCATTCTATTCAATTCCTGCTTTCCATGCTCTCTCTTTCCTCCGTCCTTATCCTTCTCCTCCTCCTCCGCCCCCTCTCCTCCTCCTCCTCCTCCCTCCTCCTCTTCCTCCTCCCTCCTCCTCTTCCTCCTCCTCCTCCTCCTCCTCCTCCTCCGCGAGCCCCCGCCCCCCGAAGTGTTCTGCCCTCTCCGCGCATGCCTACACAGGATTTCGAGAGTTGGTTTCTGATTTTTCCTCCAATGGAATCGTTTTTTGGTGTCTCAGAATGGTAACCCCGCCGCAGCGTTGGCCCCATCTCGTGACCCAAGTGCTTCCTCGTCGTCGCCGCCCCTCTCTTTCCCCTCCCCCGCCCCTCCCCCTGGTGCTCGTGCTCCTGCTCCGGCTGACGCTGCTCCCCCTTGTCCTCCTCGCTTTGCTCCTGCTCATGCGCCACCCCCCTTCTCCAACGTACACGATGTCCCCAGGTTGCGGCGCATCTCACGACGAGGTCCTCTCTTGGTTTCCAGGCCCGCTGTGCCACCCGTCGGCCGACACAGCGCGAACCAACACCACCGGCAGCGACGGGTGGGAGGGGCAGAGCTGGCGCGGGCGCACCCAGCTCGCCCCTCCCCCTCTCCCCGCCCCTCCCCCCGTCCCTCCTCTTCCTCCGCCCTCCCCCCCCGTCCCTCCTCCGCCCGTCCCCCGTTCCCCGTCACTCCTCCTTGCCTCTCATCTCCCCCCCCGCCCGTCCCTCCTCCGCCTCCTCCTGCTCCTTCTTTTCCGCCCTCTGGGCCTCGGGCATTCTCCGGCGTGGGGCAGGGCCGCCGGGCGCGCTGCGCGCGCGTGGAGGTGCTGCTCGACCGCAGGGTGATCGCCACACTGGATAGCGACGCCGTCGTCGGCCAGGCGACGACTCGGGTTGAAAAGCCTGTCCCCGAGAAGGGGTTCAGACCTTTTGGGATCCACGTTGTCAATCTATCACGATTGGGTGGGTGGAGTAGGCCCAAGGGCTGGCAGAGGGTGATCGCGGTCTGATTCGATCTGGTCCGGTCCCGAAGCTTCGGTTCCGATCGGGCCCGGCACACACCGATTCCCCAGGCCACCCCCAAGGGCGCGAATGTACCACGCTACCACGCTTCGCGCGTCGCGGAGGGGCCGCCGAGCTGGTCTTCTCCAGGGGGCGGCGCGAAGGTGCGAAGATGACAGCGAGTCGCGCATTGCGGGGAGCGATGCGCGAAGTTAGGTTGCTGTACCTGGATGCCCTCTCCGGCCTGTAAGGCCTAGCCCGATCCGCGATCCCAGACGATGCGATACCGTCCAGGGCGTTGGGGATTCAGTCGCTTCGGCTGCGTCGCAGGCGGCTGCGTTCAGTCGCTTCGGTCTGGTTGCTGCGTCGTTTCCGCGTCGCTGCGCCCCTCTGGGCTGCTTGCGGCCTGGAGGAGGAGGAGGAGGAGGAGGAGGAGGACCAGCGTAAACCCAGGATGTATCAGCGGTGCTGCAGTACACCCTCCCGTCCCAACCACTCTTCTCACAAGTCTCTACAGGCCCTCCTACTCACTGCGGGAAGCGCCGCCTTGAACGATGGGCACCGTAGGGGCCTGCCATTGTGAGAGCCCCATTTTGGGAAGGAACTGAGTTGAGTTGCATCCTTCTAGTGAGCGATAAGGCGTGCGAAGAGGTAGAAGTACAACGTTCAACAATGCATCCAGCGAGAGCCCTGTTTTGAAACAGAATCGCCCCCCGAGTCGTGGAACTAGTGCACAAGTGTACGCAACTTGTTGTTACGTTTGAGGAGGTCTCGTGTCAGAGCCTTACTGAACAATGATACGGCTACCAATCCGTGCAGCTGTTACATGTTTTAGTACCTGGTCGTTACATGCAAGGAGCGCTCACGCGAGAGCCACATTGTGAGAACCAAACGCCCTCCCCCCATCTAACTGTCGCAAGCTTGAGCAGCTGCGCGACGTTGAGGCGAGAGCCCCATTTCGAAAACGGACCGCCCTCGTTCCTTGTGATTCATGCAAGCTTTTACGACGACTGCGCGCAGCGCGAAGACGAGGGCCCCAGTTTGAAGATGACACCCTCCAACATCTGTGTAGCATTCGCAACGTTCCAGCTTCAGGGTAATGCCTGCTTTTGGTCGAAACGCTCGTGCCGCCCTACTAACAGTCTGGAGATGCCACAGGCAGAATATACCTACAAGGGGAAGGGATGGATGAGGAGCCGGAGAAGGATGAGCAGCAGCAGGAGAAGTTGAAAAGCCTTCCCGTCCCAGCGCCTCTCATGCTCTTCCTTCCTCATCATTCCGCTCCGCTCCTTCTTCTCTTCGCCCTCACGGAGAAACGCTGTTCCTTCCCTATCTACCCTCATCCACCTCCTCATTCCCGTCCCATCCTCTCTCCTCCTTCCTCCTTTCTCCTCCGATTGCCTGTGCAGCGTAGACTCTGCCTGCACAGTGGCCACACAAGTTCCCAGACAGGTCCTCAGGGTGAAGTAGCGTTTAATCTGTTGATGCGTTGTAAACTGGCAAGAGCCACCAGGAGAGGCCCAGGTGCCTCAAACAGTCGGACGAACCTGATGCCCCCGGGTCTCGATTCGATTTCATTCCTCTTCCTCCTTCACCCTCCTGTCCCGTCCCCCTCCATCAAATTCTTTGCCCTCTGACCCTCTCCTCTCCCTCCAATGTTCCTCCCCACTCCACGCGCCGCCTTAGCGCCCTCGCAAGGACGTGATGTTTGGGCTCAGCTCGAGGCACACGTTCACAGCGAGGCTCCCCACAACCCCAAGCGCGCCCTAGTGTCAGGCAGGATGAGACGATGATGGTGATGGTGATGATGACGATGACGACGAGGATGACGATGATGAGGATGGTGATGATGATGATGATGACTACGATCACGATAACCATGACAATGACGACGATGACGATGACGATGACGATGGCGATGACGACGACAATGGTGATGCTGCTGAAGAAGAAGATGAGGATGATGATGATGATGATGATGCTGATGACGATGGCGATGCTGCTGATGCTGGTGCTGATGCTGATGCTGATGCTGATGCTGATGCTGATGCTGCTGACGATGTTGCTGCTGATGATGTTGAGGATTATGCTGATGATGATGATGATGATGATGATGATGATGGTAGTGGTGATGCTGATGGTGGTCATGACGATTATGATGGTGGTCATGGCGATGCTGCTGATGATGCTGATGATGATGACGATGACGCTGACGATGATGATGCTGCTGACGATCATGATGATGGTGACGACGACGATGTTGATGAGTTTGGCGGTGATGATGATGGTGGTGATGGTGCTGGGGATGATGGTGATGCTCATGTTTGTGACAAGAAGGGGGTGGTTATGCTTATCGTTGTCATGATCCATAGTAAAGGTGTGGCGGGCTAGGGTCAGGATTCGAAGCCACGTGCCCCCGTGATGAGTGGCACGACTGGGGAGTAGAAAAGATGCATTTACGATTGTATGCGCACGAGCACTGATGACGACCAGCCAGTCCACGCCACGGCAAGACACAGGCGCGCAGGCAGGCAAACAGGCATTGAAGCCATACGCCAGAGCGCGTGGGCGAAACGAGACAATGCTGGGCTTCACGCTACGTTTTGCGGGATCAGCGGCATGCCAGCCGATTATGTAGTTACATCGAATGTGGCTGGAAGAAAGGAAAAGCGGGGAAGAACGGGCAGTGCAGCATCTGGCATTCACACGCGTTGTGACTATACGTGCCTCTGCCAGCTTACACAAACAGCATAATCACCCATACGGCGTGGATATACTGTTACATGTGCTTCCACTGTCTTGCAAAACACACAGTGACATCCATCCACCTTGGAACGTCGCGCAAACACTCCGGTATTTCCCCTTCTGCGTTGACGCCGACGAGAATTCGATTATACAGTCTCTTGGCCCATTCATTCCTGAGTTTTCTTGGTCATTCGCGTATTTTGGTAGTGGCTGTTTGGACCGATATGGGCAAGAATGGTATTCCTCTCAGGACGTCCTCGCCACACATTCTCCCTATTGTACAACACCGATGAACGGCGCGCACATGAGAAACGCGTCTGCATACAGCCGCACGCATGTACACACTCGCGCACACACCTACACACACCATACAACGCCAGTGCAGCCCATTCTCGACACCATAGGTGGTGCGCAGGGGGTGGTCTCTGAGCGCGGCCGCTATGTGCGCCGGTCGCGCAGGGCATGGCAGGCGTGGCACGGCACTTTCTCGACACCATAGGGGGTGCGCATGAGGGTGATCTCTGATCGCGGCCGCTATGCACGCTGGTCGTGCAGGGCATTGCAGGCGTGGGACTTTCTCAACACCATAAAAGGAGGTGCGCAGGGGGAGGTCTCTAAGCGCGGCCGCTATGCACGCGGGTCGTGCAGGGCATAGCAGGCGTGGCACTTTGTCGACAGCATAAGGGGGTGTGCAGGGGGTGGTCTCTGAGCGCGGCCGCTATGCACGCCGGTCGTGCAGGGCATAGCACGCGTGGCACTTTCTCGACATCATAGGGGGTGCGCAGGAGGTGATCTCTGATCGCGGCCGCTATGCACAAGGGTCGTGCAGAGCATAGCAGGCGTGGCACTTTCTCGACACCATAGGGGGTGCGCAGGGGGTGTCTCTGAGTGCGGCCGCTATGCACGCCGGTCGTTCACGTCCAAGCAGGCGTGGCACTTTCTCGACACCATAGGGCGTGCGCAGGGGGTGGTTCTGAGCGCGGCCGCTGTGCACGCGGGTCGTGAAGGGCATAGCAGGCGTGGCACTTTCTCGATACCATAAAGGGGGTGCGCAGGGGGAGGTCTCTAAGCGCGGCCGCTATGCACGCGGGTCGTCCACGGCAGTGCAGACGTGGCACTTTCTCGACACCATAGGGGGTGAGCAGGGGGTGGTCTCTGAGCGTGGCCGCTATGCACGCCGGTCGTGCAGGGCATATCAGTCGTGGCACTTTCTCGACGCCACAGGGGGTGCGCAGGGGGTGGTCTCTGAGCGCGGCCGCTATCCGTCACGGTCGTCCAGGGCATAGCCCGCGTAGCATTCTCTCGACACCGTCGGAGTTGTGCAAGGGGTGGTCTTTCAACGCGGCCGCTATGCGCCTCAGTCGTCTAGGGCATAGCAGGCGTGGCATTATCATCATCATCATCATCATCATCATCATCATCATCATCATCATCATCATCATCATCATCATCATCATCATCATCATCACTATCATCGTCGCCATCATCGTCATCATCATCAAAACCTGTAGCCACCGTGGCTCATGCTGGCTAAGGCCGCTGGATATGTGAACGCGAGCGACCGCCGGTGACTTTCCGTCGAATGTACGGTCCCCGCCATGGTGCCCAAATGCGCCATGTCCGCGCTGAAACCGCCAGGCGAGATGGGCGCCGAGGTGAACCTGGACGGTTTGCGCGGATATGTCGTCAGGCATAGGAACGTCTTGGCACAATGCGCATGGCATGCTTACCACCGACAGCTGATGAACTGGTGGCCTGACACGCTATTCGCCACATGCGACGATTTGCCGCGTAAGCGAGGGGTTGACGATGCAAGGGGGCAGTGTTTGGTGACGTACTTACACCAGCGGTGTCGGTGGTACAACGGCCACCCGCATCGTTCTCACATGTTTCACTTCAGCTGTCATCACTTCAGAGATCTCATAAGTATGTGGGGTTCCTGGGTAGCGAACTTGTTGTCCAGTACTGTGTGGCTTGCCACGTGCGACCAATCCGAATGCGGTATGCTCATCATCTTCCTGAGGGCGCCAGGTTTGAAACGCATCCACTCTTCGTTTTTTCAGACTTGTATCAGAGCTTAAACAAGAAACAACTTTCTGCTTGGACGAATTCACGTGTGCTTCCATGCGTGCGAACATCTGGATAACTCCCCCCCAGCACGACTGGCGCCCGAATGGACCGTGCCACTTTTAGGAGTTACGTGCTCTCCCACTGGTTTCGTAGGTGTACGTCGCAGCTGGCTTGCATAAGCTGGAACGTGTCCCAGTGCAACTTCATGCCGACCCTGGCGCCTGCAGCCGCGATTTCGTCCAACTGGTGTGGCGCTCTGTGTTGGCAGCGGGCCACCCGTAGCGTGTTGTCTGCATGTGATACCACGGACAAATCTCCAGACACGGGTGCGTCTCTGGTATGCAGTTCCACTCCGCTGGTGGCCCCTTTCCGCAACCACTTTCAAAATCATGACAAATAAGAATGGGGAGGTTGCCAACAAAAAGGGTGTTAAACGCGTTGCTGGCTCAAGTTTCCTACGCAACGTTTCGCGCCATTTTGGGGCCCCGGGGGTCCTCATTTTCGAAATCTCCGACGTCTACCCGAGGCCCCCACAGGTCTGGACCCTTTCCAGGTGACCGGCGTTTTTCTCTTGAGTCGTTTTTGACGGCCCCACGATCCCTTAAAAAAGGGCCCCCCTGATGTCGAACAAACTCCAAACATGTCCCGTCGTGTTTTTCCCCAGCGCGCGGGGAGGTCAAAGCCGTCCGCCAGATCTGTCCAGGCGTGTGTTCTGGCTGAAATGTTGAGTCGTATCCACTCAGGGCGACGAGAAGCTTTCAGGAGGCCCGCGGAGGGTTGAACAAGTCCCAAGAACTTCGATCCATGAATTTCGATCCTCGACCTCGTCGGCCTCGGGGGCTTGGGGAGAGCAGGGCGGGAACACACAAACGTGAGGCGCGTGTTTTGTTGTTGTTGTTGTTGTTGTTGTTGTTGTTGGTGGTGTTGTTCCTAATGGGGTTGTGCGGCGCTACGCATCCCGAGGGCGACAGTTGTGTCCTCTTTGGCCCAGACATGATGTCTTCAGCTCTTGCGCCAGCGCGCATGCAATAGTTCTTGGCGTGTCCAATTGAGTTGGCGCGGATTCGAATTACGGGAGGAATCGTGTCGCGGTGGATCCAATTATTTTCCGCGCGGATCCGATGTCGGATGTTTTGGGATATGAGTCCCGTCTTGTTTTTCACACGGGCTCATTTTATGATTGTTTTATAATGGGATATTGCACTACATCAGTTGACGGACGGAAATCGGGCCCGCGGCGTCCAAGCCTGCCGCTGTTCAGATTATGCGGGGAAGGGAGGTTACTTACGAATTGTCACAGACACGTCGCGCATTGTTTCACGAGTCCCATCAACCCTCCCCGCATGCGGCTCGCACCCAGCATTAATACATCTTTCCTCCTCCCAGGCTGCTGCAAGCATCTTGCCCTGACGCTGTGCGCCTGGCGGCGCCGAGGCTCTCTCGCCAACCGCGCGCTTGTCGCCGCTGGCGCCTCAAGAGGAACATCTTGCGTCCTGCGTAAGCCGCATTCCAGCCACCACTGCGCGAACCTGCCGACTTTGGCAACCACGCTGCCGACTTCCCGTCCTGCCGCTGCTTCTTCTTCTTCTTCTTCTATTCCTTTCTTCCTCCCTTTCCTGAGGCTGCCAGTTTCGGGCCATTGTCGGTTGACTTTCGGGTGCCGTGTGATATCTGCCTATCGCCTCATCGTGGCTTTCGTTCACGTCCGCTGCGTTAGTCCCCTTTGAAAGAGAAAGGATCTTGCCGGAGGTTGGTCCTTGGCCAAGGTGTTTCCAGGATTTCCAGGGAGGCCCCCACGACCTCCAGAGCATCCCACAGGATGGCCAGAGTGTCCCAGGTGTTCCCAAGAGGAGCAGAAAGCTGGGGGCACCTTGGGCCAGGGACACCTTTGGCACCCCCTATCAAACAACGCGAGCCGCGCAGACAGGATCCCGGTGCAGCACGCCAAGGGCCTCTGGGTGATCCCCCGCTCCGCGCTCGAGCGGTCTCTTGCCAAGGATAGCGCCGACCCATGGGACAGGTTCAGCCAGGGAGGCGAGGAGGAGGAGGAGGAGGAGCAGGAGGAGAAGGAGGACGAGGACGAGGACGAGGATGGGGATGGGGAGTTTGAGGAGCAGGAGGGGGAGGAGGAGGAGGAGGAGGAGGAGGAGGAGGAGGAGGAGGAGGAGGAGGAGGAGGAGGAGGAGGAGACGGGGGCCCAGGCATCCGGCGCATCGAACAAATGGAGGCGGCCTGATTGTCGCCAATTTTGGCCCGTGGAGGCGGCATCGGGCTCCGGGACTGTCCAAAAACGGTTTGGGATGAGACACCACACCTAGGAAATGGTCGAGAAGTCCAGGGGTCCATGTATCAAACATCGAAACGCCAGATCGGTGTGAACGGTTCTGGCATGCATAGTGAGCGACAGCGTGACAAAGAGCGGCGCTCACGACAGGCCTCTTTCTTTGTTTGATGCGATCGGACCGAGAGCAAATTTCTCGCTCCAACCCGCGCCTGCGAGGTTATGAGTCCCTGTCCTCTGACGTCGCAGTTATTTCGTCACGTGGGTCCCTAGGGATCTTGACCCTTTCACCAGGACCAGTTTTTTATCTTGCGCCGTTTCCGCACGGTCCAGGGGCGAGGTCACGCCCCCCCCTCCTCCCCGAGGCCGAAAACGTCGAACAACTGGCCGTCACGATGTTTTTTTCCAAGCATCCATTGGTGTTGGGTCTTCGTTTCGAAGAGAGCAGCGCCCTGCATCCCAGTGGTGGCCCTGCGTTTCCCGAACATCCAGTTGTGTTGGGTCCAGTGGTGTTGCGTCCTTCTCCTCCTCCTCCTCCTCCTCTTCCTCCTCCTCCTCCTCCTCCTCCTCCTCCTCCTCCTCTCCTCTTCCCCCTCTTCCTCCCCGGTACACCACTCACACGTTTCGTAGGCCTACAGGGAGCTCCACCGATTGCAGTGCATACATCGACGGCGCTCACAGCTGCATATGGTTGGGCCCTTCGCCAGGCTAGCTTTTTGTTGGAGGGCAAAGCCGAGATCCGACTCGCAGAGGACACCTGTGCACCACCATCACGCCTGGCCAGGGCAATGGTGGGCCCTCGCATGGTGTGTACACCCTCCTGGCCTCGGCCAGGCGGGCGTATACACCAAGTCGGCGCCCAGACCAGAGATGCGATGCCTTGTTTTTTGTCACTACGGGGTCCCCACAAGTCCACGCCCGACCCTCTCTTGACGTCCCTGCGATGGCTCCCAGGGGCCGAAGACGGAGAACCGCCTCCGCATTGAGTCTTCAACGCGTTGGATGCATGAGAAGATGGCCCTGGCTGGCCGTGGTGGCGGTGCTGAGGTGCCCTCTCCGTATCCGAAAGCTTTGATTGCTCGCAGGTGCCCTCCTTGGCGGTGGGCGGGGCTGGGCGGCCCCGCCGCATCTGGCCGGCGAGGACGCGGCCAGCTCTGGCGGGGTGTTCGGCGTGGCGGTGCGCGCGAGGGACAGGCAGGCGCTGCAGGAGACCCCCTTGCCTCTCCAGCGGCGTCCAAGAGGGGGGGGCGAGGGGGCCAGGGTGGGGGCGTTGGTCAGGGAGTGTGTCCGGGAGGCTTCAGACCCTGGAGGATGCCTTATCTGACGAGGGCGGTGGTGGAGCTCCTCGACCTGAGTTCCACCGGCTCCCGGACCCGCGATTCCTCATCCAATGGTTCCTTGTCCAAGCCCTCACCGTGCTCGGGGGCCCCGAAACGGTGCGGTGACCACACCGTGTCACCGTGTGGTGGGTCAGTGAGGATTCTGGGCGACCCCACGGTTTTGCGACTTGCTCGGATCGCTCTCCAAAGACGTCTCGGGCGACTGGGGCCTCCAAGTTTTCAGAACCGTGAGGTGACGGGCCGTGCGGGGAGGTCTTTGGGGATTTCGAGGTAACCGCACAGTCTGTCACCGCACCGTGTTCGGATCCACAATCTTCGGGGGCATCTAAGAGGGGGGTGAGGACCAGGGAGGGTGGGCATCATGGCAGGAGTCATGATATCCCCGAGATTTCATGATCCCCTCTCGTGTTTCAATGCGTTCCCTGCCCACCCCTCGTCCGCGCACATGCCTCGGGCCATGATGAGTGCTCCCCTCCCCCTCTTTGTGGCCCACTTCTTCGGCGCACCCGATCTCTGCTTGGGAGCGGGCGGAGGGGGCAGAGGGATGGGAGAGGAGGGAGGGAGGGTGAGCAAGCAGGTGCACGTCGGAATGTCGCCGCCGCCGCTTCGCTGTCTGCCATGCTGCTGACTTGCTTCCCCCTCCCTCGTGCATGGCACGGTTGTGTGCAACGCTGGCACATCTTCTTCCAGGGACGTGCGCAGCAGCAGCGGGGAGGGTTAGACGACTTTTTCCGTTTTTCCCTTACCGCTCTGTCGTTTTCTCCTGCCCCTGGAGGGTCGATGCCCGTTCCAGCAGCATGGGCTCGATGAGAGCTTCAGAACGCAGTGGTGCTATGCCTCGAGCGGCCTTCTGTGGCCCGCGTACGGGCTCGCGGACCGAGCCGGCCGAGTGGCAACGGGTGCGAGTCATCACGTTGATGATGATGATGATGATGAGGAGGAGGAGGAGGAGGAGGAGGAGGAGGAGGAGGAGGAGGAGGAAGAGGAGGAGGAGGAGGAGGAGGAGGGGGAGCTGGAGGAGGAGGAGGAAGAGGAGGAGGAAGAGGCGGAGGAGGAGGAGAGCGAGGAGGAGAAGGAGCAGGATGAGGATGAGAAGGAGGAGGGAGCAGGCGGAGACGGCAGGGGGAAGACAACATGTTCCCTTGGCGAGGAGGGTTGGAGAGGGTGGGAAGGGGGAGGGTTGGGGGGAGGAGGAGCAGGAGGAGGAGGAGGAGGAGAAGGAGGAGGAAGAGGTGGAACAGGAGGAGGTTGAGGAGGAGGAGGAGCAGGAGGAGGTTGTTATCTCCGTAGCCATTTTGGCTCAAATCTGGAGGCATTGCTCAAGCGGAAGCGAGTTTTTGGTGAGGGGATTTGCGGCCCCACGGTTTTCAACGGTCTCAAGGAGTCCGATCACCGCACTGAGGTATCATCCATCACTCGCGCGGTGGCGCTCCTTTCGCTGTCCTACTCCATTGGCAGCCTCGGTCGTGGCGATGTCTGGTGCTGTCATAAGAAGACATGTGGCTTCAAGACTAACTTCGCGTGGAAGAAGCGCTGCTATAAGTGTGGTGCAGAACGTCGTGCTGTTCCTGGTTCTCCTCCTGTGCGCGGTGTTCAGGGGGACTGGGCTAACGGGCCTCCCAAAGTGGCGAAGGCAAAGCCCAAGCTGCTGGATGAGTCGCATTTGGCGGTGTTCGTCAAGATGTCAAGTGCTGATTTCGAGGCCAGTAAGTTTCTTCTTGGCCCAAGTCAGCGTGCTCGCGTGTCGGCGCAGCGCGCGCTGGCGGCGGGCGATCCCAAGGCGGTTGCGAAGCACAGTCAGTGGGCTCACGACGAGGTCAAGCGCCAGGTGTTGCAGGCCGAGACGAAGGCTGACAAGCTTGAGAAGGAGGTGCATGAGAAGTTCTTGGAGTTGGTTGCTGCAAAGGCCAAGCTCGTTCAGCTCCAGTCTCAAGAGCGGGCTGCTGGCATTAAGGCTGCGGCGGCCTGGGCGGCGGTCAGCAAGCAACCTGTGGAAGGGCGTCCTCGTGCAGGTGGCGCGGTGGCTGCTGTCGGTCCCGGTGACCGTGGCTTCGCACTTCTCATGCAGTTCGAGTCCTTGTCACCGGAGCTGGCAGCCTCGCTGCGCTCGCTCATGGCCACACGTGATGGTCTTCTCCAGCCTGTTGGTGGTGAGCCCAGCGATGAGCAGGCAAGCGAAGACGAGGATGAGCTCCAGATGGTCGACGCCCCTGAGCCTGAGCCCGTTCTTTCTGTTGAAGCAGCAGCGCACGCCATCTTTGGAGAAGGTGCGCGACCCCACGGTTTTGCGACTTGCTCGGATCGCTCTTCGCTCGCTTCCCCCTTCGCTGAAGGGGCTGCGCCTGTCACGCTTGATCCTAGTGGGGAGGGGGCGACTGGGGACGGGCAGGGCGGGGTTCGCACTGTGCAGAAGGCGACGAGCACGTCGCAAGCAAGTTCTCGAGTTTTTTTTTGCAGCGCTTCACCACCGAGGAGGGCTGGGACAAGTTCCTCTGCACGTGGTCTCACACGGAAGCAGTGTGACAGCATCACCGGTGGCTTCAATGATGCTGCCAGTAAGAAGTTCAAGCTCACGCCCTTCGATCCTGCACCCGTGGCCCAGCAGTGTTCCTAGCCGCCAGCGCAAGGAGTGGTCATTCATCACGGCCAACGTTGGTGGGCAGATTGGTTTGGATTCGTAATCGCCGGAATCTATCTACAGCGATGTTCTGCTTATTCAGGAGTCTCGTACGTTGAAGTCGGCTTCCTGTTCCTTGGAGGCCAATATGTGCACGGCTGGTTGGTCTGCCTCTACGTGTGCTGCTACTCCAATGCTGGACAATCCTTCAGGGGGCTTGGTGACGGTGAAGCGGGTCTGTTTGGCGCCCTTGGCTCATTTTGGTGTGGATTTTCCTGCTCGGGCGTCCATGCGCCATGTCGGTGGCAAGGTCAAAGGCGGCTTCGTGATTGTGCACTTGTACCTCGTTCGCTCGGTTGGCATCAACGAGCAGAATTGGTCCATATTGTCCAAAGTGGGTGCAAGACTGAAGACTGCTAGGCTCCCCATTCATCAATGGTGGCGACTGGAACCTCATGGTTGATGACTTGCAGAAAACGTCCTGGGTCGATGCCATGGGCGCGGTGGTGATTGCACCTGGGCATGGCACGTGCAGGCCAGCTTTGAGGTGCATCAAATTGTTCGTGGTCTCGCGCCACATTGCAGGTCAGGCCAGGGCTGAAGTGTTACATGAGGTTCCTATCTTTCCTCACCTTCCTGTCAGGCTGGTCGTCCCGTCGGTCGAGCCGTCGTGCAAGGTGAGGTAGGTGCAGGTCCCTGAGAAGTTCCCCACCCAGCTCCCCATTGGCTGTCTTGCCCCCCCCCCCCCCCCCCGCCCCCCTCAGGTCGATCCTTGGGAGCACGTTGGGCATTTATGACGTGACCCTGATCTCCTGGCCCAGGACAAGCGGGATGCATTGCTGCGGGCCGCCGAGGCCCACTGGCTCTATGTCTTCCAGATGCCGGGGGGTCAGTGCGCTGACTCTGTGGGCAGGGATAAACCCCTCCGCGTCCTTTGGGACCCCCTTCCAAGCCAGCCTCTCCGAGGTTCCCGACGTTATCTCCTCTCGCCTGTTGGTGGCGCAAGGTGCGCAAATTGCTGGCCGACATAAGCCGTGAGCCGACAGGCTCCTTCAGGTCTCAGCTTGTCGCAGCTGCGGGCCGTCTTTCTTGTTTTCATCGGCTGCCTGGCGCAGCCGACTTCGCCGCGTGGTCGGCGATGCCGAGGCGCGTTCGCCCCCCTTTCCCCGCGCCGCCTGCCTGGCCGGGGTGGCAAACGGCGAGGCCGAGAGGATGCGCGCCGTCTGTGCTCAGGCCAAGGAGAAGGAATGGAGCGCACGGGTGGGCTCTCACACGTCGGGGGGAACGTCTGCTCTGTATAAGTTCTCGAACCTACCCATCCCGTGGCAGCCAGATTCTATTGATCAAGGAACCCTTTCGGCCCTGTACCTCGATCGAGTCGGTCGACGCCCCCGAGGCTGAGCGGAAAAAGTGGTGGCAGGTTGATGTCCACCACCTCCCTCGCCAGTGGCCTGAGCTTGGGGCCCCTCCACCGCGGCCGCGCTTGTTAAAGCTGTCAAGAGTTTCAAGATGACCACCTGCACTAGTTTCGATTCGATTCAGCTTCGTTCGCTGTTGTTTCTTCCGTCGGCTGCCCCTGTGGCGCCGTGTGATATCATTCGCTCTGTGGAGCGCGAGCGTGAGTGGCCTGTCATGTGGAATCGCAGTGTCTTCACCTGAAGAGAAACATTTTTTTTGGGGGTGGGGCTGGCCCCTGGGCCTTTGCATGTATTGGCTCGTGTGCAGTGTCGCCTGAGACGCCGTCTTGTGAGAGCTTGGCAGCGGGCCAACTTTCGGTCCTCTTTCTGGTCCACTCACGGGAAGCCCCCGGGGAAATGCGTCTGGATCCAGGCAGCCTGGTCGGGGCATTCCACGTGCGAGGCCAGGTCTTGTGCGATCCTTCTTTTAAGCTTTAAGAAGGCTTTCGAGTTGGTCCATCACCATCGCTTGATTGCCGCTGCGGCGGCAACTGGGTTTCCCATGTGGCAATTGTACTTTGCTGGTTCAAATTTATCGGTCTCCCGGGGTCCTCGACGTCGGGGGTGAGGTTGGCAACCTTGCATGTGGAACGAACGATTATCCTGGGGTGTACTTTTGCCACGTGCATGTTGCAACTCGTTCTGCTAGGCCCTTTGGATGTTGCGCAGGCCGCGCGGCCCGCAGTTCCGTTGTCGGTCAATGTAGACGACTTCGGCCTCATGCGCTGGGGCGCGGAGTCGCGAGTCGTCGGCGACATTTCGGCGGCAGGTAAGCTGCTCTCCCAGTGC